CTATTCTTATTGGAAAGCTCGTATGAGAGCGTTTTTAAAATCCATCGATAAGAAAGTTTGGCCCAGCGTAATCTATGAGTGGAGTGAACCTACTGTCATCATTGATGGTGTTGATATTCCTAAACCCCTTGATAAATGGGACACAATTGATTACCAAAACTCGAGTTTGAACAGTAAGGCTCTCAATTCCTTGTTTTGCTCCGTCACACCTGAAGAGTTTCGTCGTATCTGCACGTGTGAGATAGCAAAAGAGGCTTGGGACATTTTGGAAACGATTCACGAAGGTACTACTTCTGTCAAAAGGTCAAAACTTCAACGTCTCACCTCCGCATTTGAAACTCTTTTTATGCGCGATGATGAGACGTTTGATGAATTCTATGCAAAACTTAGTGATATCGTGAGTTCTTGTTTTACACTCAGGGAAAAAATCCCGGAAGCTAAAGTTGTTGGAAAAATTTTGAGGTCCTTACCCGAGAGGTTCCAATCAAAAGTGACAGTCATTGAGAAGGCTCAGAATGTTGATACCCTCAAGCTTGATCAATTGGTTGGAAACTTGCAGACTTATGAAGCCCACCAGATTTCAAAGAAAAAACAAAAAGAAAGTCTGGCTTTCACTAGTGCTCATGAGTCTGCAAAAACTCCGGAGACTGAATTTGATTTAGAGTCTGAGATGACGGCTATGTTTACTAAACAATTTAAAAAAATTTTGAAGAAAAAGAAGCCTAATTTCAGAGACCCTATTTCAAAAGACGAGTAATGATAAACCCAAAACTTTTCCACCAAAACTTGCTCCAAAAACTGAAAAGAAGATTGTAAAGGGGCCAGGGGTCAAGTTCTATGAATGTCAAGGGTTTGGTCACATTGCCCTTGAATGCCCTTCGAAAAAGAATCGAAAGAAAGTCTACACTGTGACTTGGGATGATGAAAGCGGGTTGGAGCAAGAACCCGAAGAACCTAAATCTGGAGAAGACGGGGATAGTGCTTTCATGGCATTTTGGTCCACTTTCACTCAACCTCTTCCAAAGCCAGCGGAGTTAGCTCGTGGTCAGAACCTGCATCATGCTCCTACCTTTGATGGGAGTAACTACCTGTTTTGGAAAATCAGAATGAGGGCTTTTCTGAGAGCTTTTGATCCAGAAGGCTGGCAGGCCATTGAAGAAGATACAGACAGGGCTGACAATCCGAGCAGTCAGAGAGCCCTGATCACTATTCGTGGAGCAATTTCTACTGAAGAACAGCAACGGGTTGTTCATTGCACAAAGGCTAAAGAGGCATAGGAAATTTTGAGCCAATTCCATGAAAGAGGAAATTCACCTTCACTACCATCCAGCAACCTTTCTGTCTTAGTTGCTAGACTGGATGAGGTCAAGGAGAATGAAGAGCAAAAAGAGGATGATGAAACATCTGAAGATAATGATGAGATCAATGGCGATGAACTACAACAAGCCTACGAAAAGCTGTAAGAGGAATCTCTGAATTTGTCCAAAATCAACGACAAACTCTCTCTCAAGCTCAAAACATGTGAGAGTGAGAATGTCAGGCTGAAAGGAGAACTTGTAACAGCAAAGCAGAATATCATCAAGATCTCGAGTGATAGGCAAGACTTATGTGGAAAACTTCTATCCTGTGAAACTGAAAGGAATGAACTCCTAAAGGTGTTCCACATATGAAGAAAAGCTTGAAAGTCTTGAGATGTCACAAGCTACATTGGAAGAGAGAGTCTGTCAAAAAGTTGAAGAACTCTTCTCAAAACATCAAGGAAAACTCACAAAAACCTCAGAACAAAACTTCAAGCAAAACCCTAGGACTCTTGAATAAGATCTAGGAAAAAGTAATCCTAAAAACAACCTAAACAGGTATAAATAGGAATCCTGAGTCCGCGATCTCCGCTCGAGCGCCCAACATCCCGCTCGAGCGGCTTCAGCAAAAGCTGCGTGCGACAAAACAGATTTCCACTCGAGCGTTTGATGACCCGGTCGAGCGAGAAATCACACCTTCCAGTATTTTTACAGACCTGACAAAATACTGAGAGACCCCAATATCCGCTCGAGCGCCAATGGTCCCGCTCGAGCGGGAAGAACAAAAACACAGGAAAATTACAACTTGTTCAACCCAAAGTTTTGTACCCGGATTTGACAAACAAGGGACCTAACAATCTCTCCCTTTGTCAATTCCCGGAAAAAACCTTTCTAAACAAATGTCCTTAAACACACGCACTAGACAAGATTAAAAAAAAAGAGAAAAGACTCTAAACAACTCTATTATCAAATAATCTTGCCATGTGATCAATCAATCCATCCATCCAACTTCATCCAACATTCACCTGTGAAATAGCTAGCAACATACCAGAAAAACAAAACTTGTGGAACTGTATAAGAATATACCAAAACATACAAAAAAAGAGAACCATGATACAGTATCCACCAACTACAATAACCAACCTATCCGAATATCAACAAAGTATCCAACAAATCCAAACATGAACAAAATATCCATATGAACAAAATATATCAAAAAATGTGTACCACCAAGATCACCATCACCGATTTATCTCCCCCTTTTTGACCGGGAATCAAGGAATCAATGAATCATGCACCAGGGGGAGGTGGTGGCTGCTGAAGCTGAAGTAAGGAAATGATGTGGGCCAGCTGAGAAGTAGTGTGGACGGCAGTCTGCTCCAACTGACCAAGGCGACCATCAAACGCATCAAAGCGGGCATCCAGAAGGTCCAACCGCCGGGTCATAGCCTCCTCAAAATGCTGAAGCCGATCATGAAAAGCTCGAGGTGGAACAGGGGGAATAGCATCCTCCTCACCCCCGACTGCGGCAGCATCAAACTCAGCCTCCTCAGCTAGGCCAGCAGTGGTACCTGCAGAAGTACCTGCCCGAGAAGACTCCCCTTTAACATGAGCCCGACTCTGAGAAACAGTTTTCTTTGTGAATGGTCGGGAGGGGAAGGCAAACTCATCATCCTCTAACACTCGAACCCCAAGTTCAGACAAAAGATGGTTGATCAAACAACCATAAGGAAGTCCTAACTGTTTATTCCCAGAAACACCTATCATTTTCTTAATAATCAGAGTAGCTAGATCAATAGACATGTGACGGGCGATACAAAACAAAACAAAACCTTAGTCTTGATTAATGTCGGAGGAGTGAGTGGTCACAAGGATGTTTGCACAAACAATCAGATTAAGCAGTCTAAACTCCGGAAGAAGTTCAAACTGTTTAATCAATGCACCCGTAGGCCAAGAACGGAATGTCCAGTCTAACACTTTCGAGTCCATCCCTATTCGTCCATTGTTTGATCCTCTAGGTGGTGATTTGGTGTTGTCTTTTTCTGGGCGTCAAAATCTCGACTGGGTCCGAGAATTTTACTGCGATATTTAGCAAATTAGTGACTTTGAGCCTTCATTCACTACTTGGGTTCGGTCCAAATCCATTTCTGTCACACCTGCTCTCATTCGTCATCTTCTTAAGATTGATCAAGTGTACCCTCAACACTATCCTTTTCCTGTTCCAGGCCGTCCTACCTGTGATTTTAATAATGTGACTGAGGTGTTATGTGGTACTTCCCGTCCTTGGCCTACGGGTGCATTGATTAAACAGTTTGAACTTCTTCCAGAGTTTAGACTGCTTAATCTGATTGTTTGTGCAAACATCCTTGTGACCACTCACTCCTCCGACATTAATCAAGACCAAGGTTTTGTTTTGTTTTGTATCGCCCGTCACATGTCTATTGATCTAGCTACCCTGATTATTAAGAAAATGATAGGTGTTTCTGGGAATAAACAGTTAGGACTTCCTTATGGTTGTTTGATCAACCGTCTTTTGTCTGAACTTGGGGTTCGAGTGTTAGAGGATGATGAGTTTGCCTTCCCCTCCCGACCATTCACAAAGAAAACTGTTTCTCAGAGTCGGGCTCATGTTAAGGGGGAGTCTTCTCGGGCAGGTACTTCTGCAGGTACCACTGCTGGCCTAGCTGAGGAGGTTGAGTTTGATGCTGCCGCAGCCGGGGGTGAGGAGGATGCTATTTCCCCTATTCCACCTTGAACTTTTCATGATCAGCTTCAGCATTTTGAGGAGGCTATGACCCGGCGGTTGGACCTTCTGGATGCCCACTTTGATGCATTTGATGGTCGCCTTGGTCAGTTGGAGCAGACTGCCGTCCACACTACTTCTCAGCTGGCCCACATCATTTCCTTACTTCAGCTTCAGCAGCCACCACCTCCCCCTAGTGCATGATTCATTGATTCCTTGATTCCCGGTCAAAAAGGGGGAGATAAATCGGTGATGGTGATCTTGGTGGTATACATTTTTTGATATATTTTGTTCCTATGGATATTTTGTTCATGTTTGGATATGTTGGATACTTTGTTGATATTCGGATAGGTTGGTTATTGTAGTTGGTGGATACTGTATCATGGTTCTCTTTTTTTGTATGTTTTGGTATATTCTTATACAGTTCCACAAGTTTTGTTTTTCTGGTATGTTGCTAGCTATTTCACAGGTGAATGTTGGATGAAGTTGGATGGATGGATTGATTGATCACATGGCAAGATTGTTTGATAATAGAGTTGTTTAGAGTCTTTTCTCTTTTTTTTTAATCTTGTCTAGTGTGTGTGTTTAAGGACATTTGTTTAGAAAGGTTTTGTCCGGGAATTGACAAAGGGGGAGATTGTTAGGTCCCTTGTTTGTCAAATCCAGGTACCAAACTTTGGGTTGAACAAGTTGTAATTTTCCTGTGTTTTTGTTCTTCCCGCTCGAGCGGGACCATTGGCGCTCGAGCGGATATTGGGGTCTCTCAGTATTTTGTTAGGTCTATAAAAATACTGGAAGGTGTGATATCTCGCTCGAGCGGGTCATCAAGCGCTCGAGCAGAAATCTGTTTTGTCGCACGCAGCTTTTGCTAAAGCCGCTCAAGCCGGATGTTGGGCGCTCGAGCGGAGATCGCGGACTCAGGATTCCTATTTATACCTGTTTAGGTTGTTTTTAGCAAGGTTTTCAAAGGCGTATTCGAGGCGCGACTTAAGGCGCGACTTGAGGCGAGGCGTACAGAAAACGCACAGATGCGTTCTGTTTGGGGCGAGACCCCAGCTATGCGTACGCGTCAAGATCAGAGGCGTAAGCATTTGTCGGGCTTCATGCGCTTTTGACGCTTTCGATAGCGAGGCGGAAGCCTTTGAAGAGTTCGATTTCAAAATTCAAAAAAGAGAAGATAGAGCAGGTGATGGAAAAATTGCTATAAATTGACTTCGATTCAAACAGAAATTGCTCAAGAATAAGTTATAAATACCATGTAAGTCGATCTTCAAATCAGAGTCCAACAACTTCAAATCAATCGCCTAATCTTCTTCAACGAACTAGGGTTTTCAAGGTACGCAGTCTCTCTCTCTCTTTCTGTCGAGTTGAGTCGACTCTGTCTCTGTGTCTCTCTCTCTCGTTCTGTTCTTTGCATCGTCTCTGTCGATCTGCTTTCTACATCGTCTCTCTCATTCTGTCACTGTGATGTATATATATTATATAATATATGTATCTTTGTTGTGCAGTATATATGTTATATAATATAGCTACAGTGTAGTATAGTGGTCTGTCTATCTATTTCTATCCGACTGTGATGGATATATATTATATAATATATATATCTTTGTTTCAAGCGTACAGTGGACTAACATATTTTTATATAATATATTATATCTTTGTTTCAAGCGTACAGTGTAGCGGACTACCATGTTATTAAATAATATATTATATATGTACAGTGTAATGTTATTAAATAGTATATTATATATGTAGTGGACTAACATGTTATTATATAATATATTATATATGTACAGTAGATTACCATATCATGCTTAATATTATTATTTTAATATTTCTCCTTCTTTTATTTAAAATTATTATTATTATTATTATTTTTTGATAGACTATAATTTATTATTATTAATATTAATATTCTTTTTTTCTTTTTGCCATCCCACCTAACCAGTATCTTTTTTTTTTTAAATTTTTTTTGTTTATTTTTATGTAGTGCTACAGTTGATAAGTTTGTGGGGAAAAAAAAATGACTGAACCCAAAGGCCAAAGAAAAGATTGTCTGGAAGTATGTAAAAGAAGTTGATGGGGAAAAGTATTTTAGATGTAAATTTTGTGATCAAACTTGTAGTGGTACTGTAAGTCGATTTAAAAATCATCTAGCCGGCACACATAAAGGCATTAAACCGTGTTCAAAAGTTCCTGAAGATGTAAAGTTGGAATGCCAACACGCATTAAAAAATTTCTTTGAGCAAAAAAGTGCCCGTAATGAGATGCTATATGAAATTGGGATGGGTGCTGGAGCAAAGGGCGAGAGTGGTGCTTCTCAATCTATTGAAGGCGATACTGGTATGACACAAGCACCGAAACCGAGGGGTCCAATGGATAAATTTGCTAGTTCTCAAGCACGACAATCTACACTAAACTCCAAATGGAAACAAGAAGAAAGAAAAGATGTGTGTCGAAAGATTGGGCGTTTTATATATTGTAAAGCTCTTCCATTTAATTTAGTGAATGATCCGTATTGGGTAGCTGCAGTTGATGGAATTGCAAATTATGGACCTGGTTTCAAAGCCCCTTCTATGCATGAATTGAGAACTTGGATTCTTAAAGCAGAAGTAGGGGATATAAATGTTATGATGGAGGAACATAAGAAAGCATGGAAACAATATGGATGCTCAATTATGTCTGATGGCTGGACAGATGGGAAAAGTAGAGTACTTATTAATTTTCTTGTGAATAGCCCTGCTGGAACTTGGTTTTTAAAATTAATTGATGCATCTGATACTATAAAAAATGGGGAGTTGATGTTTAACTATCTTGATAGTGTCGTAGATGAAATTGGGGAAGATAATGCTGTTCAAGTTATTACTGATAATGCTTCAAACTATGTCAATGCCGGGTCGAGACTTATGGAGAAGAGGAAGAAGTTGTATTAGACTCCATGTGCTGCGCATTGTATTGATTTAATGTTGGAGGACATTGGAAAATTGAAAGTCTGTGACCAAACTCTCTCGTTATCTAGGCAAGTGGTCAAGTTTATATATGGACATTGTTGGGTTCTTTCAATGATGAGATCATTTACAAAGAACAGTGAACTACTCCGTCCAGCAGTAACACGGTTTGCCACTGCTTATCTTACTCTCCAAAGTCTTTACAAACAAAAGCAACCACTCCAAGCTATGTTTTCTTCAGAAAAGTGGGCTTCTAGTAGTTGGGCAAGAAAGGTTGAAGGGGTAAAGGCTCGTGCAACTGTGTTGTTTGATCCAAAATTTTGGCCGAATATTGCTTTTTGTATCAAAAGCACAATACCTTTGGTTAGTGTTTTGCGAGAAGTTGATTCAGAGGAAAGGCCTGCTATGGTTTACATTTATGAGTTGATGGATTTGGCTAAAGAAAAGATTGCTTTCAATTGTGGAGGAAATGTTAGGAAGTACGGACCAATTTGGAATAAGATAGATGCAAGGTGGACACCACAACTTCATAGACCTTTACATGCTGCTGGTTATTATCTAAACCCTCAATTGCGCTATCGAGATTCGTTCTCCAATGTTGAGGAGGTGAGGCAAGGATTGTATCAGTGCATGGATAGAATGTTGAGTTATGATGAGCGTCTCAAGGCTGATATCCAATTGGACTATTATGATCAAGCAAAAGGGGAATTCGGAAGTCGTGTTGCAATTGATTCCAGAGCGATACGCTCTCCCGGTAAGAAACTAATATGAAAATAATTTTCCAATTGCATTCTATAAAATTAAAATACGAGATTGAAATTATTTGTGCATTTTTCTAATTATGTAGCTGATTGGTGGATTCGTTTTGGGAGCAAAACACCAGAGTTAACAAAATTTGCTATTCGAATACTTAGTCTAACTTGTAGTGCTTCGGGATGTGAGAGGAATTGGAGCATCTTTGAGTCGGTAATATATCTTTCTTTCCTAAACTTTCTTATGCATAAAATAAAATATTCATGTTTCTTATTTCGTTTCTTATATTATTATATTAGATTCATACAAAAAAGAGGAATAGGCTTGAGCACAAACGTTTGAATGCTTTGGTCTATGTGAAGTACAACACTAAACTAAGAGAGAGGAGTATTAGAAGAAGACAAAACATCGATCCAATACTAATTGATGAAATTGATTCGGATGATGAATGGATTGCTGAAAAAGAAGATCCTGTCCTCTCCCTTGATGCTTCTTGGCTTGATGAAGAAGAATTGTTCGATGCTGAAGCAATTAGGACTGTGCCTATCATTACATATGATAGAAGTGCAGAGAATCGATCAACTACGACTACAATTAATGTTGACTCATCTTCGAATGCGAAGAAAAGAAAAGTTGGTGAAGGTTCAAGTAAGTTGTTAAACAATTATGCACTAGTTGCATATATATTATTATATGTGCCTATTTAATTAATTTGAAATCATATTTCTTGTGTAGGAAATGATAGAGGAAAAGGCAAGGCAGCAAGATGCACCCTTGCAGATGAAGATATGGAGTCGGAAGAAGTTGGTGGAATAGATGATGGAACCTATCCCATTATAGATATAGCAGACGAAGATGATGACAATATTAATGAGGATGACTTAGAGTGACCTATTATTTATTTATTGCTTTGTTCATAGAGTATTAGAGTTTTAAGTTATTTTGTTTATTGAACAATTGGAATTTAAGTTTTTGACCATGACTTAAGTTATTTTTTTATTATAGTATAAATCAGAATGATTTAGAAAGCACTTATAATACTTGAAATAATTAATTAATTTTGGTTATATGCTTAGAATGGCCTTTAAAAATTTTATTTGGCAATTCTTATTTTTTTTACTCTTTTTATGCTATATTTAATTAATTTTGCATTTTATAAAAATTAAAAAAATCAAAATTCAAAAGGCTTACGCCTCAACGCCTCGCCTCAACAAGGATAAAACGCCTCGCCTTGCGCTTTCGCCTTTAAAAACATTGAGTTTTTAGGACTACTTTTTCCTAGATCTTATTCAAGAGTCCTAGGGTTTTGTTTGAAGTTTTGTTCTGAGGTTTTTGTGAGTTTTTCTTGATGTTTTGAGAAGAGTTCTTCAATCATGATCTAAGATACATACATCAAGGAGTTCGTTACTTTAAATTCAAGAGAGAGATCTCTTCGGTGGATTCCGAAGATTCAAGCGTAGAGTATCAAAAGGAGTTTGATTCTAAGTGAAGTTGTGGATTCAACTTCAGGATTGATCAGTTCCGAGACGAAGGCGTGGTGAAAGAGTTACAGAAGATTCGAAGACAAATTGACTGAGTGGGGTAATTTGTGTGTTATCTTTGTAATCTTTCTTACTTCAGTAGTGGATTGATTAGTGGCGTTTCGCCCGTGGTTTTTTATTACAATTGAAGGTTCTTCAATTGCGATTTTTTCCACGTAAAAATCGTTTGTGTCGATTTATTGTTTATTCCGAAAAACAAACAACCTAAATCACTTTCGTAAGTGCTTGTTGGTTTAGATTGTGTGTTTTGGATACTTGGGATTTCAAATATTTTAATCTTGATCTAATCACGAATCACTTAGGATTTTCATATATATATATATATATATATGCGTGTGTTTCACATATTTTAGGGAAAATTACACCAATGGACCCTTATTTTGGTTGTGTCATTCTGGTTGTTCAACTAATGAGTTAACCTCAATCAATTCGGTGATCATTTTTCTTCTCTAGTTGACATTATCAATTAACACAAAATCTAAAATTAAGGGTTAAAATCAAGCTAATTGAAATTATAATGACCAAAAATGAAACAAGAGTCAAAATGCAAGCACTATTGACGTACGCTTAATTTCAAATAACCATAAATCAATACAAATACATTGCTCATCAGAAAATAAATAAATGGATTCCCACAGTGTATGAGATGGAAAATAACCTCAAAATAAAGCATGGAATTAAAATTTAAAAAATAAAAAATAAAACTTAGTTTAATGTCAATTAACTTGAACATCAAATTCTACAAACCCTGCTCTAATTTCGAAAATCCAAAGTAAATACAAACTATTAGAGGCCCTACCCATGGTGTACGAGTTAGAAGAAACTATTTTTTAAAAAAACGAAATTTAATATTTAAAAAAGGCAAAGCTCAACTTGACAATCCCTAACATCAAGCTCAACAAGCACTAAGATCAGAAATAATAAATAAATAAAAACCCTAAACCTGAACAGCTTAACAAACAAAATCACATAGAAATTAGAGGCCATTCAAAAATCAAGCACATTATTGTCACAATTGTATGGCATTTGCAATGAAAAAGAAATTAAAAAACCTGGTTAGTTTAGAGGTCCGAATTCTTTCTCACCTTGGATCTTCTCGCCGAACTTGGTTCACGTTTAGCTCACTCCGATGACACCCTTTTCCATCGACAGTCCTGTCTCCATCATATCATCCATATATATATACGTATACACACCAGAGGCGGTGTAAAAGCCGTACGTAGTCTTTTGTGTTTGTTCCTTTTTGTTTTTGTTTCATTGTTCATTTTTGTTTGAGAAAATATCATTTTTTCCCTTAAATTTTTACACATTTTTTAATTTGATTATGAGATTCTGATTAATATTAATTTTACATTTAAATCTTTAAAATTTTGATCAATTTGACATCTATCGTCACATTCCGTCTATAATTAGATGAATTGTGCTGATGTGACACCAAAATTCATTTTATTTATTAAATTATACCTTAAAAATTAATTTGCCCCCCAAATATAAAAAATTAAATTTAAATATTTAATAAATAATTTTTTATCTCAATAATGAAAAAATTAAATTTTAAATAATATATATTTTGCAAAAAAAATAATAGAAAATATAAAAATCCTCATTTATAATCATTTTGAAGTATGAATAATTTGACAAACATGTCGTACCCATACTGAATATTTACCGATGTATGATATTTTTATATATGTACCGGGTATACAAAACACGTAGTCAAATTTTTCCTTCTTAATTTTTAGCGTACTTAGACATATCTAGTAAATAACAAAACCGTACCATATCTCAGTCAACAATATTTTTTTCTACTACAAAAATAAAATTCTTTTTACTAGACTTCTTTTTCATTTTTAGTTTTGTGCTTGCCGTGGTTTTAAAATTAAATTATGATTTGTAAGTTATTTAATATAATAATATTTAATTTTGATTTATCTTATACTTGTACTTTTGTCATTAAATGTCAATTGTATGTTGGATTTAATAAATTAAACCATTTAATCACTTTTTGTTTTATTCCAAATTAAAAACAAATATTTTTTTTACAAACGTATTAAGTTATATCTGTACCCTACTTTTTTTTGAATTTTACCGTGTCGACGTACCTGTGTCGTACTAATACTAGTACTCACACCTGTACCTGTGATTCATAGGTCTCAAATTATCTCGAGTCGATCCTACAAAACTTATTGTAACTAGTCGATCCTACAAAAACTTATTGTAACTAGTCTATTACCCAAATTAATTTCAATAGAATTGATCGACTAATAGTAATTTTAAAATTGAGTGAGAAAAAAATTTCAAAATTCGGTAAGTATTCGATACGGATGTAACATGTTTGTCGAAGTACTCATGTTTCATAGCCTCAAGATAATTCTAAATGAGGATTTTCATATATTTTTTTTATTATTTTGTTTGCAAAGTATATATTATTTAAAATTTAATTTTTTTCATTATTGAGATCAAAAAATATTTATTAAATATTTAAATTTAATTTTTTTATATTTCAGGAGAAAATTGATTTTGAAGGTATAGTTTGGGAGAAAATGAAATTCCAAATGAACTTTAGTGTCACATTAGCACAACCTGTCCAATTATAGACGGAATGTGACAGCAGGGGCCCAATTGATCAAAATTTTGAAAGTTTAGGTATAAAATTGATATTAATCAAAGTTTAGGAGTCAAATTAAAAAACACATGAAAGTTTGAGGAGCAAAATGATATTTCGTCTTTTTCTTTTTAAAAATCATATAAAAGTGATGGGGAAATGACCTAAAGGTCAAACTTAGAAAAAGTTACGTAAAGTACCAATAAATTTTAAATAGTGATATTATAAATTGTTTGGTCTTTTTTTTTATGAGCACAAAGATCCCATTCTAATGTAAATTACATAAAGGACTAAATATAAACGTACGTGTGTTATATGTTAAGGGACAAATGTGAATTTTCTCATAATGTTGAAATTACTAAATGTAACACTTTTCCAAACATAACATTCTAATATAACACTCAAAAAATGTAACAGTCCAATGTAATACATTAAAAAACTTTTTAGTGTACTTTTCTCAAACATAACAATGTAACATTTTAAAAAAACTCCTTAGTGTACTTTTTCCAAACATAATACTCTAATCAATGTAACACACACAAAAACTTTTTAGTGTACTTTTCTTAAACGTAATAACATAACATTCTAAAAAAACTTCTTAGTGTATTTTTTTTTTCTTCTAAATTTAGTACTCTAATATAACACTCTAATGTAACACTAGAAAACCACATTAACAGAAATGTAGATTTTCACTCTCGACAACTAACACTTCAGCCATCAATCTGTTAGGAAAAATATATGATTTCCTACAAGTGAATTAATCAATGAGAATAAAAACTAATACGGAAAAATTAAATCAATAAAGACATAAGGATTTTTACGTGGTTCCCTCAATGTAAGGTATGTCCATAGGATCGAAATCTGATTCCACTATCAACCAAAGAATTTCTAAACGATTACAAACGGGTTTCACAAAATTACCCTTAGGTGAATTCCAAATAATCACAAATAATCAAAAAGAAAGACCTCACCAAATAGATGAACAAAAATCTTCTAACTAGAGTTGTAAAAAATCCAAAATAATAACCTAAATCAGTCTCCACAGCAAAACCTTTTTCGGATGAAAATAACAAAGTGAAACTCCAAAGAAAATACACAAAGTCACCTAACATCCAAGATTGAACCCACCAATTGACCTTACACAAAAGCACTCACATAGCACGCTTATGTATCAGAAGCACACCCATCGAATTGATTTATGACGGCTTCTACCTCCTTTGGGAAAAACAAAGACAATATTTATATAAATTGTTAAATATTGAGCTTTTTAACAAAATTCTAGCTGCTACCAAAGTGAATATTCAATACTTATTAGGTCCCAAAAGTTAAATATAATATATTAAAAATATATTATAACCAACACCAAACTAAATCAAATTCTTTTAATAAATCAATTGGGTCCATACTCCACTAAGGAGGTATACTCAACAATTCTCCCCCTACCGACTTAGGTGGAGACATCAACCATACCCGCCAAAGTTTGACACTTCAAATGTTTGTCCCTCAACAAAGTCTTAGTCAACATATCCGAAATATTATTATCCGTGTAAACCTTTTCGAGTTGCAACAATTTCGAATCTAACACATCATGAATCCAATGGTATCTCACATCAATATGTTTTGATCTTGAATGAAAAGTAGAATTTTTACTCAAATGAATGCACTTTGACTATCACAATAAAGCACATACCTTTCTTGCTTCAAACGCAACTCTTGCAAAAAATTCTTCAACCATAACTCTTCT